GGGGCGTCCCCGGGGCTGGGCGCAGGGGCTGGCGCGGTTGGCTCCGGTGGCGAGGGGCTCCCGTTCCGCCGGGGCATCCGTCTGCTGGACAGCGGCTCCGTGGAGAACGTGCTGCAAGTCGGTAGGTGCTCGCCCGGCTCCTCTCTGGTCCCTGGCCTCATCTTCGCAGGTGCCTCCTCTCTGCCCCAGCCTTGGGCCGAGACCCTGGCCTTCTGCCCGACTCCTGTACCCCTGCTGAAGGACATAGAAGTCACGTAGAAAACTTTTCTCAGCATTTCATTCAGATCCACTACGGTTCTTTTCTCCACTGGCCTGTACCCACATTTCTTTTTGTTTGAAGAGAGAATAGGTCTTTCTCACTCTTCACTCTACTCCTCACACCAAAGGCAAAGAGAATGGGGGAAGATATGCCTTTTAGGATGTAATAATTTCACAAATGCCTTTTTCTAATTTGAGTTTAGAGACAGAAGAATTGTTAGTGAATCTGGAGCAAGCAGTCTTGGAGTGTTCGTGGGATAGCCTGTCACAGGCGATCTATAGTCTTAGCAGATTGAATCTAGGTATAATTAACTTTAACTGGGGGGGGGGGGGTGGGCAACCAAGTACTACACATTTCAGGCAATTTATTTATATATTTATTTATTTTTTGTTTCAGACAATTTTTAATTGTCTGCTTTAGTATTTTTTTCCCCTGGACCAGTGATGCTTGGAAGTCTAGGCAGTGGACTAACAATAACCGAAGATGGAAATGTGACAGCTTCTCTCCTCCACGCCCCCACCCAAGGAAAAAAAAAAAGCCGCACAATCTGGAGTGGGGGTGGGGTCTCTTTTTCCTTGTCAGACTGGATAAATCAAAAGCTGGTCGTGATGGGTTTCTCAAATGCTTTTCCTTTAACAAGTCATCGTATTTGTTTTTGTTTTATTTTTTTGTTTGAGGGAAAATGAAAAATGATTTCTTTTTCTTTGATTCCTCTGGAGCTGCTAGTCAGTTTGTTAATCTTGTTAGGTACATGAATACAGTGCTGCTCGTTTATGGAATGGGTTAGAAAGAGAAGAATGACATTGTTTAACATTGACTTGTTATGTGGAAAATTAAAGCACTAATTTTTTTTGTATTTGCATTATTACAACATGCTAGAAGTACACGTTATCTTTATGCATTTTGTATGCTCATATTTACAGAAGAAAACATTGATTTTTGAAAGGAATTGAAGGGTGGTTGTTTTTAGGATTAAACAAGCATCAGGCAGTCGCATATACACAAATGGAAAACATGTAGCTCTCTTCTCCCCAGGCAGAACTAACATATTTGAAAATCTTTTCCTTTGAAGTACTTCCTGGTGTTTTTATATAAAGTAATCTGCTTCTGGTTATTAAGAATCATTTACTCCTCTGTTTCTTAAACAACAGCATACCACAATTTGTTTTGCAAGTGTGAAATGTAAATTTATTCTTTGCCAGAATATGGTGGCAGTGGATTGAGAAAGTTTTGTTTATTTGAAAAAGGTTATCTCTGTGTATTTGTGTATATTTTTCAAAGAATGAATTGAATGAACAGGTAATTAAGGCATTCAGCTTTAATACTGAAAAGTTGAAAACATGAAAATAAGTATTTGTCTCTTAGTCTGTAAACTTTATAAGTTTGGATCAGTTAACTTTTAAGATTCTTGTTTAAAATATTTTAAATTGAAGAGGGTCAATAAATTGAAAAGGGTGAATTTAAGTGGTCATTTAATAGTAAGAGATGGATTTGAAAGAATTTTCAAACTTGGCAATGAGAGGAGTTTTAAAGAGGTATCTGTTTTTATAATTTGTTTTATTCTAAAATATTAAGGAGGTACAAATATTTTTGATTACATGGATCACTTTGTAAGTGTTCATTGTACCTACTAGGTAGATTTTCACTTGTCCCCTCCTCCCCACACCCCTCACTCCCCATCTCAGCTGAGTTTTACTTCCCTCTGTGCACGCATGTGTGCTCATCAGTTAGTACATGTGGTGTTTGTTTTTTTCATTCTTTAAATACTTCACTTTGGATAATGGTCTCTAATTCCATCCAAATTGTTGCAAAAGGCATTCATTTATTGTTTTGTATGGCTGAGTAACACTCCATGGTATACATATAACACATTTTGTTAATCTACTCATGAACTGATAGGCACTTGGGTTGATTCTGTATCTTTGCAACTGAAAATTGTGTTGCAATAAACATTTCAGTGCTGGTGTCTTTTTGATAAAATGACTTTCTTTATTTTGGGTGGATACTCAGTAGTGGGATTGCTGGACTAAATGGTAGTTCTTTTAATTCTTTGAACAGTATCTCCATGCTGTTTTCCATACAGGTTGTACTAATTTGTAGTCCCTCCCCCCAAGAGCGTATAAATGTTGTTTGCAATCTGCATCAACACCAGCAATGTTGTTTGTTTGTTTGTTTGTTTTTGAGACAGAGTTTGACTCTGTTGTTCCAGGCTAGAGTCCCAATGGCCTCAGCCTGGCTAACAACCTCAAACTCCTGAGTTCAAGCTGTCCTCCTGCCTCAGCCTCCTGAGTAGCTGGTACTGCAGCTGGTACTACTACCTCCACTGTTTGTGGACTTTTTATTTTGATATATTATATATATATATATATATATATGTCTTTTTTTTTTTTGAGACAGAGCCTCACTGTGTCACCCTCAGTAGAGTGCTGTGACGTCACAGCTCGTAGCAACCTCAAACTCTTGGGCTTAAGCTATTCTCTTGCCTCATTCTCCTAAGTAGCTGGAACTATAGGGACCCGTCACAACGCCTGGCTTTTTTGTTGCAGTTGTCATTGTTGTTTAGCTGGCCTGGGCCGGTTTCAAACCCACCAGCCTCAGTGTATGTGGTTGGCGCTATAACCACCGTGCTATAGACGCCGAGACTTTTTGGACTTTTTAATAAAAGCCATTATGACAGGGATAAAGTGATAATCTCATTCTGGTTTTAATTTGTATTTCTCTGATGGTATTGAGCATTTTTCATATCTTTATTGGCCATTTATCTCTATTTTTGAAGTGACTAGAATATCAAATTCCACATGAAATCAGAATTTATGGATAATCTAGATCAGCGGTTCTCAGCCTGTGGGTCGCGACCCATAGGAACTGTATTAAAGGGTCGCAATATTAGGAAGATTGAGAACCACTGGTCTAGATTGTGTTTTAAGCAGATATTTCTCCTTTACAGTTTGATAGTTGGTGTGCTTCTGGGTGATGGTTCTCATATGATGTTTACAGGGATCTTGAGAAAAGACACATATAAACATATTTTCTGATTCACTTTGGTTCATAAAGATTAATATAGGTAGCTGGATGTGGTGGCTTAACACCTCTAATCCTAGCACTCTGGGACACTGAGGTGGGAGGTTCACTTGAACTCAAGAGTTTGACACCAGCCTGAGCAAGAGGGAGACCGTGTCTCTACTAAAAATAGAAAAAATTAGCCAGGCATTGTGGTGGGTACCTGTAGTCCCAGCTACTCTGGAGGCTGAGGCAGGAGGATTGCTTGAATCCAGGAATTTGAGTTATCTGTGACTGGGCAACAGAGTGAGTGAGACTCTGTCTCAAAAAAAAAAAAAAAAAAAAAGGATAAGTAAAGGTGAATGAATCACTTTTAGGTAATGCTATTTGAAAACCACAAGCTGTGTGTAATCTTTTATTTTTCTGACCTTAATTTTTGTTAATAAGTGTCCTCTGTATAATTTTGAGTTTTGTATTTGTCATGAATCTCTTGGTACTATGCAAAACTGGAGAGTAATTCATCTTCTAAACTTAAAATTATGAGTCTATGACTTAATCTAGATGATAGGTTTTATAAAAGCATTGGCAAGAGATGAGCGAGGAAGTGATTTGTGTATAGCAAGATAGTAATCATGTTCTTAAATTTATAACCCTAAACTCACTTTCTAAGTGGTGCTAATTAAGAATTCTTCCTATCTCCTTACTGTTTCCAAGCCATAGAACCTCAGAATTGGAAGGTTACTAAAGGTTGCTTTAGGAAGGAAGAAAAGTTGGAGTATTTCTATAAAACATTCTTTTCTTTTCTTTTGTTTCTTTGAGACAGAATCTCACTATGTTACCCTTGGTAGAGTGCTGTGGCGTCACAAGCTCCAACTCTTGGGCTTAAGCGATTCTCTTGACTCGGCCTCTCACATAGCTGGGGCTATAGGCGTCTGCTACAACTCCTGGCTTTTTGTTGTTGTTGCAGTTGTTTAGCTCACCTAGGCTGGGTTCTGACTCGCCACCCTCAGTGTATGTGGCTGGCGCCATAATCACTGTGCTATGGGCGCCGAGCCTATAAAACATTTTTAAAGAAAAGATTCATAGTTAATTTAAATGAAAAAAAATTGGAATCTCTGTAGAAAACATGAGATTTTTTGATCAGAACTAAAACTTTCCTAGCCTTTTTTTTTCCTTGAGAGAGAGTCTCACTTTGTCACCCTTAGTAGAGTGCCATAGCGTCATAGTTCACAGCAACCTCAAACTCCTAGGCTTAAGCTATTCTCTTGTCTTAGTCTCCTAAGTAGCTGGGACTACAGGCACCCACCACAACACCCAGCTATTTTTAGAGACGAGGCCTCACTCTGGCTCAGGCTGGTGTTGAACCTATGAGCTCAGACAGTCCATTGCCTCAGCCTCCCAGGTGCTGGGATTACAGGCATAAGCCACCATGCCCAGCCATTTCCTAGCTTGATATAACAAGTGGGAGAACTATAGATTTGTTTTATGCTTAAAGGAACATTTTTTCTGTATAGCATCCCTGAATCAAAGTATTTGTATCCCTTTTAAAAAGGGAAAATTGCAAATTATTCTTTTCATGTAAGACGTGTGTAAGTTTGAAGCTGTGTCAGTAGACTTACAGTCTGATCTCTCAGTATTATGGAAGTAGTAATATTCAGATGTTTTAAACATCTGTATTTAAACCTGTTTCAGAAGCCCATGGAAATAGCTTTAACAAACTTTGAGAAAATACTTACTCAGGAACCTATAGATAATATAAGAATAGAACAGAGGCTGGGCATGGTGGCTAATAAGCACAGCCTTCAAGACTAGAGTCAAATACTAATTATTACCCTTATGTGGGAGAGGTATAGTTGCAAAGT